ACATTTGACGATGGTTTCTTCCGAGAACTATGTCTCTCGAAACTACCACAACAGGTGCAAACCGTGTTGGTGACACTCCAGTCAGTCCCACTCGATGACCTGGCAGCCTCAGCAGATAAAATACTGGAGATATCCAGCAGACCCGTCTCCAACGTATATTCTATCTGCGACAAACCACAGCTCCAGGATTCAGAGGTGACCAAGTTGTGCAACTCTGTGAAACGGTTGCTACCTTCTCGAAGTCCTAGATCACGTAGCACTTCACAGAAACGCACCTTGGCGCATCGCAGCAAGTCGCGTGGTAGCCCTAAAACAAAACCCAACAGGGTGAAAAACCCTGAATGGTGCTGGTTTCATAACACTTACAGGGGTGAAGCCACAAAATGTCGGAAACCATGCCTTTTTAAGAAGGACACAAACTCGGGAAACGGTCACGCCGGCACGTGCTCACGGCAACCGTAGCCGGTGGAAAAAGCCTTTTGCTCTACGTCACCGACATTGAAACGAAAGTCCGCTACCTCGTCGACACCGGCGCAGAAGTTAGCGTTCTTCCCGCAACGACAAAGTAGCGTCATCTTGACCCATCCTCCAATCTTCAAGCAGCCAACGGCAAGGCAATCGCGACATTCGGGAGACAGTATGCCTACCTCAACTTAGGTTTACGCAAACCTATCCACTGGATCTTCCTCCTTGCTGACGTCTCTATGCCCATCATTGGCATAGATTTGCTAAACCATTACGATCTACTCGTAGATGCTCGCCGTCGACGACTGATAGATAACAACACAAAGTTATCTATTGGCGACACCACCTATGTAGGTCCGAGTTTAGCCATCGTTAGGACTAAACAATCAGGCGACGCGTCCTACCAGGCAGTTCTGGAGAAATATCCAGAGTTACAACAACCGAAACACACTCTTCCGTGCATAACCAGCAATGTTATGCATCACGTGACAACCACAGGTCCACCTGTGGCATCCAAAGCTCGCCGTCTAGCCCCCGATAAGCTGCAAACGGCGAAAAATGAATTCGACCATATGCTCGAACTAGGCATTATCAGACCGTCAAACAGTCCTTGGGCATCGCCATTGCACATGGTTCCCAAAAAGGATAGCAGTGACTGGCGTCCAACCGGTGATTACCGAAGGTTCAACGCCAAAACAACTCCGGACTCCTACCCGATACATCAATACAAACCCTCGTATACTTTGCCTTTTTACATCAATTTTTATTTACCATGTAATGAAATTTTGAAAAAAAACGGTAAAGATAAGCGTAAATTTTTATTTTTCGATATGTTTATATATAAATAATTCCCATTTTTACGCAACGTTTTCGTGGTATTAAAGACTTTTATTTATATTCCAGGTGCAACGAGCACTGGACGGAGCGTCGAAAGGAACAGATGACCGCGACCGACGTACAATTCCATTTATTGTATTTTATTTATTTAATCGCCACGACACCCTAGAATAAGGTTCAGACAACCAGGGGCCACCTCACGCAGTCAGCCCATCAGAAGAGTTTTACCAGTGGAGAAACCACTGGGTTTTTACTTCCGGCTGGTATCGTCTTAGGGTCCTCACGATCCCACTAGGGGGGGAGTGATCTGTAGCGTCATACACTTCCCCAAAATCAGTAGCCTAGGGTTTGACAACTTTCGACATCGATGCTGACCTTGATAGTTTAACTGGACTCGCTAAGCTGAAGGCACCCGGTCAAGCATCCTCGCCATTTGGCACGCTGTCGTGTTACGTTGCATTGCTCGTATTCGACTCCCTAGCCAGTTAGTTGAAACGCATCGGTATTTTGGCATAACCATCCAAATATACTATTCCATCCGACTACGCTATTGTGTTCTACCTTGGTCTCGTATTCGTGGGTATATAACAAGTTCGAATAATTAGTGATTGGTCTTTGCGTCTGTCAAGTTCGCACCAGGACAAATCCTAAATTGGTGAGCCCGACGTGATCAAATATCCCGACGTGATCACATATCCCGACCAATAACAAGTATTGAATTGGTGAGCCTGTTCCATTTTATATTTGTTTATTGTTTTCATTTCGATAACATTTATATATCCATTTACTACACTTTCTCATGTCCGACCACACTCCCAAGCTTATTCGTATTAGGCCGACCTCGAACACGATCCAACTCGTGCCATATTGGCCAGACAATGCAGAAACATGGTTTCTGTATGCCGAGGCCGATTTTCGAGAACAGGGTGTCTCAGATCCTCAATCTCGATTTCTTGCTGTCATACGGTCACTACCGCGAGAATTAAACGGGTATGTTACAGCAAACATGTTTAATCCTGAAGTAAGTGACCCTTATGCACTTCTAAAGGCCGCACTCTTGAAGAAAAGCGATCTCACAGATCGCCAACGTCTAGACGAATTGCTTCGTAACATCGAGCTAGGCAGCCACTCAGCTACTGAAGTCCTCGCACGCATGCGAGAAGTAATCAGTGCACGAACATTTGACGATGGTTTCTTCCGAGAACTATGTCTCTCGAAACTACCACAACAGGTGCAAACCGTGTTGGTGACACTCCAGTCAGTCCCACTCGATGACCTGGCAGCCTCAGCAGATAAAATACTGGAGATATCCAGCAGACCCGTCTCCAACGTATATTCTATCTGCGACAAACCACAGCTCCAGGATTCAGAGGTGACCAAGTTGTGCAACTCTGTGAAACGGTTGCTACCTTCTCGAAGTCCTAGATCACGTAGCACTTCACAGAAACGCACCTTGGCGCATCGCAGCAAGTCGCGTGGTAGCCCTAAAACAAAACCCAACAGGGTGAAAAACCCTGAATGGTGCTGGTTTCATAACACTTACAGGGGTGAAGCCACAAAATGTCGGAAACCATGCCTTTTTTTAAGAAGGACACAAACTCGGGAAACGGTCACGCCGGCACGTGCTCACGGCAACCGTAGCCGGTGGAAAAAGCCTTTTGCTCTACGTCACCGACATTGAAACGAAAGTCCGCTACCTCGTCGACACCGGCGCAGAAGTTAGCGTTCTTCCCGCAACGACAAAGTAGCGTCATCTTGACCCATCCTCCAATCTTCAAGCAGCCAACGGCAAGGCAATCGCGACATTCGGGAGACAGTATGCCTACCTCAACTTAGGTTTACGCAAACCTATCCACTGGATCTTCCTCCTTGCTGACGTCTCTATGCCCATCATTGGCATAGATTTGCTAAACCATTACGATCTACTCGTAGATGCTCGCCGTCGACAACTGATAGATAACAACACAAAGTTATCTATTGGCGACACCACCTATGTAGGTCCGAGTTTAGCCATCGTTAGGACTAAACAATCAGGCGACGCGTCCTACCAGGCAGTTCTGGAGAAATATCCAGAGTTACAACAACCGAAACACACTCTTCAGTGCATAACCAGCAATGTTATGCATCACGTGACAACCGCAGTTCCACCTGTGGCATCCAAAGCTCGCCGTCTAGCCCCCGATAAGCTGCAAACGGCGAAAAATGAATTCGACCATATGCTCGAACTAGGCATTATCAGACCGTCAAACAGTCCTTGGGCATCGCCATTGCACATGGTTCCCAAAAAGGATAGCAGTGACTGGCGTCCAACCGGTGATTACCGAAGGTTCAACGCCAAAACAACTCCGGACTCCTACCCGATACATCAATACAAACCCTCGTATACTTTGCCTTTTTACATCAATTTTTATTTACCATGTAATGAAATTTTGAAAAAAAACGGTAAAGATAAGCGTAAATTTTTATTTTTCGATATGTTTATATATAAATAATTCCCATTTTTACGCAACGTTTTCGTGGTATTAAAGACTTTTATTTATATTCCAGGTGCAACGAGCACTGGACGGAGCGTCGAAAGGAACAGATGACCGCGACCGACGTACAATTCCATTTATTGTATTTTATTTATTTAATCGCCACGACACCCTAGAATAAGGTTCAGACAACCAGGGGCCACCTCACGCAGTCAGCCCATCAGAAGAGTTTTACCAGTGGAGAAACCACTGGGTTTTTACTTCCGGCTGGTATCGTCTTAGGGTCCTCACGATCCCACTAGGGGGGGAGTGATCTGTAGCGTCATACACTTCCCCAAAATCAGTAGCCTAGGGTTTGACAACTTTCGACATCGATGCTGACCTTGATAGTTTAACTGGACTCGCTAAGCTGAAGGCACCCGGTCAAGCATCCTCGCCATTTGGCACGCTGTCGTGTTACGTTGCATTGCTCGTATTCGACTCCCTAGCCAGTTAGTTGAAACGCATCGGTATTTTGGCATAACCATCCAAATATACTATTCCATCCGACTACGCTATCGTGTTCTACCTTGGTCTCGTATTCGTGGGTATATAACAAGTTCGAATAATTAGTGATTGGTCTTTGCGTCTGTCAAGTTCGCACCAGGACAAATCCTAAATACTCAATGTAGGCCTGCTGAATTCTAAAAAGTAGTTCTCGGAGTTTTTGCTCTATTTATCAATGATCTCACAGAAAAAAGTATATAGCTGCATAGTGATCCTGTTATCAAATGATAAATTTATATTTCCTCAAGCCCACCTACTTCTTTTTATGAGGTATAAATATCTTTGGAGTGTTTATGAGGGTGTATGGGTCTACCTAAAAAAATCTGTCTGTATTACTTGTTTTACCAGCACCAAGGTAACCCCTTGTTCCATTGAGATACACTTTTATATTATTCACCGTATGTTAATACATTTACAAAATCAGCCACCGGATGCATAGCCCAGCAGAAAAAGTAAATGATGCTAAGGGCATAGCAGTTAAATGGTTCAAATGCCTACAAAATGAAACAGTAATGGGGCTATACAAAAAACAGGTTAAAATATCAGAAGAACTATCCGCCTGTCTAAAAGACTATTAAACACATATATCACCATTATTTCAAGCTGGGAAAAATCTGTTTGCAAAACTATGATAGCTCATGATTCAAATATAATAAACGCTAATCTGTACTTCAAAACTTATAGTTTTTGGTTCGATGGGAATGTGTAGTTGCGTGGTGACAATGTACTTGCAGCTCCATTAAGGAAGTTAATTTCCTGCAACACTTCAGGGTCCCCTTCCCCAAGTAATGTCAGTCTGATCTCTGAATAATACGAATATCCAATAATTAAAAAACCGACCTAAAACAAGAAAAACATAGATAGTTTTTCAGTCTTCTGAATCTGAATGTGATACATTCTACTTGAAAAAAGATGAAGAAATTCCCGTTCTTAAACTGTTTTCATCTACTTGTGAATAAATGTAAACCACCATATCGTCGCCCGCAGACTTAAGTGTAAGATCGATTTCCACTTCATACGACCAACAAGTAACCCAGCACCATAGCTGAAATGAAAAAATTATGGTAACATATTATCATATACGAAAATACTATCAGAGTACACTGAGTGTACAACGACCTAAGACAACAACCAACAGGACGGATAGACACGACAAGAACGACGAAGTAAAACTGGACTCACGTAGAGGACGTAGCACACAATGAAGTACATAACGCTGAAGATTAAATAGGGTGCACGCTAAAATAGTTTTTTAACACAAGTAGTATACGACCATACCCAGGCAGCCAGTCCATACCACGAGTAAGTGTAGACGCCAACACCTAAATTAGTAATCTGGTAAAGTAGCATGATTATGCACCAAGCCCGAAGATACGACTTCAAATGATAAAGCCTCTAGAAAAATGACTGGCAACAGAAAGGATATTACATATCTTGCTGGCCAAGAGATGGCAACAATAACGATGATGGAAATAATAATAAGGATAAGATCTGCGAAAAACATGACAATGTCACACAATATAAAGCCTGGAAAGAGTATTTGTAAACAATTTTAAAAAACCAAACCTTTCCAAAACCTAATGCGCCAATAAGTAGGAAATTGAGGATCTATGATGAATTCCGGTAATGCCCAGGAAACCAAATCTAGAACCACAAAAAGCAGTGAGATTGATGAAGTGATCTAATCAACATAAATTAGTGGGTACGCAAGTATTTACCGCTGTAGTTGCAGTTGAAATAAAACAACCCAAGCGGTTGTCTAAGCAGAAACATCCTCTAAGTGGAAATAGTGGTGAAACTCCATCTTTACGTCTGATAAGCCAAACCATATGCTGCTTATTGAATGAAGATTGGGACAATGAACAATAAGGGCGATTGAGGAAATATTTTCAAATTTCCTCTTGAAAACTGTACACTAAAGCAGATGTGCTAAACAAACCCCAAATCCAATATCCAATATCATTTTACGAGCTAGTGTAAACAAGTTGATTTCATTGCGCTCGCTTCTAGGTCATTCTGGACGGTTCCAGGTCTTTGGTGGATTGCGATGCACTACCAAATATCCACTACTGATAGGGCGTGTGTAGAAAACTGTTAGTATATGAGTAAAACTTGGGCACTGTGGTCGATTGCGATTCCATTTTAGTCTGTTCATTAGAAATATCACACAGTGAAACAGTAGCATTTACTGGATAACGTTTCGGACACAACTTATTGTCTACATTCATATGAGGTAACTTCACAACTTCGAGACAGACTTTATATATTCCTAATCATAGAGAAGGAGAGAAAATTAAGAATATATAAAGTCCGTCTCGAAGTTGTGAAGTTACCTGATATGAATATGGACAATAAACTGTGTCCAAAACGTTATCCAATAAACGCTGCTGTTTCACTGTGTGATATTTCTAATAAACAGACTAAAATGGAAGAAAACTGTTAGTTTTTGATCTCTCGCGTCTAGTTCTTAGGGCCTGGTTCGAATTATTCGTTCCACTCCCGCAGTGGACGAGGAGATCTCGCCTGCTTTCTTGCTTTTATCTTCGGTGAGGTGGATGTTTTGAGAGTTAGTAAATTGCAGCTTGTGGAGCGGTTGGGGAGCTACCGGTTACTGGGACGTTTAGGGGACTGTCGCGACTCCCGTCTGTGAAGGCACCTGAATGAGAGTGGTAAGGGAGTGGTAAAAGGTAAAAAAAGAAGAATAGAAGAGAAAAAGATAGAAAAAGGGCGAAGAAAAGGAAAGAAAGGAACCACGTATGTGGGAGTTGTCCAAAGGGTAAAAGTAGATAGCGTAGTTTTTTCTAGCGAAGAATTAGTGGGTAATGTGGGCGTGTTAAGGAAAGGGCTAGTGGGTGGTGGGTAGAAGGGAGGTGGGGTTGGACCGGCGAGGTTGGTGACTCCCCTGGTACGTCCATGGTAGATCATGCGAGGTGACACAACTCTCTACCCGTCTCTCGAATGAGTCAGCTAAGGGGATAACGACGGTTTGTTGCGGTGGGGCATTCCAGAAAGCAAGTACTAACAGGGAGAAAAAATTGAACCTGAGCATGATATTGGCTCTCTGACGTGCTATCCTAATGGGGTTTCCTCGTGGTGACCGCGGTGTTACAGGCAAGGTTAACTCGTTTGCGTGGTTTGCCGGATGGATGATCTCGCAGACCATAATAAGGCCACCCCTCTTCCTTCGATAACCCAAAGTGAATAGGTTTAGGTATTTTAGTCTCTCAGGATAGACCCTTCGCTTCAGCCCCACAAACGATTTTGTTGCAATTAACTGTATTTTTCCAAGGAGATTAGAATCCCTCTTCAGTGTTTGAGGGGCCACCTTATTGAAGAACCCTAGACGCGACCGTGTGTAGCATTTGCAAACGGTGAAGAGGGGTTCAGGGGTGAGGGCGCCAAGCTGTCTACGCAGAGAGTGCAAAATGGCGTTCGCCTTGGTTGTCATACCTTTGCAGTTGGGGCTGGTGTTCAAGGTGCCGGAGAAGTTTGGCCCCAAATCTTCTTTCCGTGGACACTCTGGTGATGGCAGGGTTCCTCAACATGTACTGAAAGCCAACCGCACTTGCTTCACATTTACTGATGTGCATTTCTTTGCACTTTTCAGGTTGAAGGTCAAGCCATTTTCCGACGACCAGAGTTCGGGTTGCTATAAGTCGTTCTGTAGTGCTGTGCAGTCGGCTTCTTCGTCCAATGACCCCCAAATTTTAATGCCGTCAGGGAAGAGGAGGATGGGTGAGGATACTTTGTGTGGCAGATCACTGTCAAACAGAAGGAGCAGAAGTGGTCCTAAAATTGCTCCTTGTGATACGCATGGCACCAACGGTCTCCACTCCGACCTTATTCTGCTTACTTTGGTGCAGAACTGCCTCTCTTCTAGGCAGTCCTTGAACCAAGGGAGTGAGGGTTCACTTATACTAGCTGACTTGATCTTGTGAAGCAGGAGTGTGGGCGAGACACTGTCAAATGCTTTGGCTAGGTAGAGAAAAACAACATGCCTCGTTTTTCTGTTGTCCCAGCTGAATGTCCAGTCGTCCCGGGCGGTTAGTAAGTTGGTGGCACATGAGCGACCACTCCGAAAGCCATGCTGAGCAGTGCGGATGATGTTTTCTTTGTTGAGGAATTCCCTGATAGTGTCAGCTACCAGGTTTTCTAGCACTTTCGACACCATAGGGAGTAGAGCAATTGGCCTGTAGCTGCCGGGGCTTTTTCTGTCTCCCCCCCCCCACGTTGAAGATGGGTGACATGACGTTGCACTTCCATTTTTTGGGGAGTTTGCATGACTTGCAGATTTGTTTTGCAAGCACCATTTACGCAGCTTTTTAGGCTTACCGGTTTAGGGTTATCGCAGCCAGAGGACTTGCCTGGATGTAGCCTAGATAGGTTCTCTGACCCTTTTTTCCGTGAGACTGAGATGTGGCAGAGGCATTCGTTATTTGTGGCCTGGTTTGTGTCTTAACGAGTCGGTGTGGATTTGGTGTCAGTTATAAGCTGAGATTGGAGGTGTGAGCTCAGAGGCTCGAAAATCTTCGGACTGCTTAGTAGACTCCCATCAGAATCCATGATAAGATTCACTCCCTTGCCGGTCGACTTACTTTTCGACATGAAGCGACACGAGTTTTTTGGGTTGCCTTGCAACCTCCCTGCCAGGCTTGTTTGACCGGTGAATCTGTCGTTACGCACTCTTATGTTACAGTGGCTGCGAATTCTTTTGTGGTTCAAAGAGTCAAACTCCCTGCGTGATGGCCGCCACTTGAACCAAGCCCGCTCCTCCCTCTGGATTTTCTCTTCTTCCAATGATTTAGCTATGAGGTTCTCACTGACGGTCTGTGTGTTAACTGTGGTACACCGTGGCTGATGACCCCAACGATTACTTTCTTCACCCGTATCCAGTGTTCATCTATTGTGAGATGAGTCCAATCTACCGACCGTGATGCATTCACGAAATAGTCCCTCAGGGTCTCGTAGTTGGCCTTGCTGTAGCAAGGGCAGAAGTTGGGCGTCTCCGGTTGGAGGTCCTCCCCAGTAATCATGGAGAAAGTTATTACTGCGTGGTCGCTGAAGCCAAGAGGAGGTTGCATATGTACGTCCACAATGAGGTCATCGTTCGTCAGGGCGTGGTGGGGGCACGATGCGTTCCCGTCAGGCCCCCAGCGTGTGGCACCACGGATTTTCTCTGAGAGACCAGCAGTCTTAGCTGCATTCTCCAGCTTCTGACTGAAGAATCTGATGTGTCTCCCTCCTGCCTCGAAGAGGATGGACGGGGTGTTCAAGTTGCTGGCGAAGACTACGGACTAGTAAGTTGCAGGGGAAGTCACCAAGATTGCCTTGATGACCATTTCCTTATGTGTAGGAGGGCCAGTTGGGGCTGATATATGACTTCGAGCAGGTATTCGGCAAGGTGGAGAGTCAAGTAGAACCATAAAGATTCTAGGAGCTGGTTTGGGGCAGTGTCGCTAATCACCCTAGCCTTTAGGCGGGAGCTAACGTAGACAGCAAGTCCTCCTTGTGCTCTGAGCTCTCTATCTCTACGGAAGAGTTCTGCGCAAATGCTATGCATCTCTTCGTCGGAGATGTTCGGCGAGAGCCAGGAATCGATGATAAATATGATGTCAGAGTCTTAGCGTACATGTAACTTTCTCATCTCTGCTACTTTCCCTTTTGGCCCTCTAACGTTGCCGTACGTATATGTTAGAATGTGGTCGGTGAGAAAAGAGGACAGGTTGCCTATTTCCGCGAGAGAGACTCCAACGCGGTTGCATTTGGCGTCTCCAGTTCTCATAAGACTGCCATCTCTCCGCCTACCAGAGCTTTATTTTCAACTTGCTTGGGGAATGTGGCAGCAGGAGCTCCTTTGCTCGATGTATCTGACTCACTGGTCAGTGCCTGTGTAACAACCACTGACTCTAGAGGTCTTGGCGGTTGCCGTATCTCCTTCTGCCTAGCGAGTCTAGGGTTACTTTCACACATTCGTAGTGAGCCAGCCGTGTGGTCTTTCATACTATACAGTGCGTGTAGAACGTCTGTTAGGGACCCATGTGAGTTGAAGTGCATGGCGAGTAGCCTGGGAGTTGGGATAGACTTCAGATGCGCTAGTCTCGGTAGTCTACTGACGCTGTTGGCCGGTATATTGTAGAGACCGACTTTGGCTGAGAGCCACTGCCATTGCTGGACATCATGTATGTACCAATCCTTAGCCAAGAGGGGGGAGACCCAGGGTCTGACGGCAGCCAGTCCGTATTCGGCCGTCAGACTGCTCTCTTCCGATCAGCAATGAGATCGTCGGTACATCAACGTTGAACAAGATGATCGAGTTGGTCCTCCTGTGGCTTGCTTTTGTTGTAAGTCGTGCACCCGACTTTCCAGTGGGTTTGTTGTTTATTTCTACCGGTTGTTTCCAAATCACAGTGCCTGGGATGTTTGGGCTGGGATTTGTAGTGGGTCTAGCAGCCGGCGCCCCCTGCCACACCCTCGACGCTCTCTGAGGCCCGGTAGGGAGTACGGAGATTAAACCCAATGTGTTCTCCATGAGTGGTGGCATGCGTGCAGCTGGAGATCTAACTTTGTCTCCAGGCCCCTCCGCGTTATCCTTTAATGTTAACCTTACTTTATTCGGGGGTGTTGGTAGCTTTTGCACGGAGTAGTGCGTCTCCTTTGGACCTTCCGTGCGGAGAGCTTCCTACACTCCAAACAAACGTACCAGGGCCATTTGCATGGTTGCCTCCTCATCAGCCTATGGTGCTTCCACAAGTCCAAGGTGCGTGATCGAGTGGGATAAGTAGCGCTGCAGTGGCAGCAACCCGAGCTATAGCAGTTGATAGAGATAGTT